TGAGAATAGTAGTCAGAGCCTGCACACAGGTCAATAGCTTGTAAGAAACCAAACATTTTATCTGTAGTCAAATTTCCTCTATCAGGAACTTCAATTATAGTGTGAAATTATAGTAGAAGATGGGAAAGGGAAACAAAGGAGAGCATAATTATCATGCAATGCATGCAGCAAACATGCAGCAAACACATTGCAAGCTTGAAGTAATGTGTGAGAAAAACCTAAGTCAACTCAGCAAACATGCAGCACACACGTCGCAAGATTGTGTATTGTAATGTGTGGGAAAAACTTAAGTTGCCGCTGCCGCCGCAGCACTAAAACGTTGACAGTTTTGCTGACATAAATAATGACTAATAAGAAAAAGCGCTGGTTTAGGCGCACCGCCCTAATTTATAGTATAGGATAGGATACAAATGTGCAATTATGGGCTCTCTGAATGCTATAGTAGCTGTTCATGCTTTTTCTCCTCGTTGCTCTGGTGGTCGTACGGGTGAACGACTGCTTCGATGTTCATTGTTGTACGACTCTCGAGGTTAACAATGAACAAGCGAGCTTCTCTTAAACTTGTTCATCGACCAATCCATCTTCCTCCGCCTCGGAGACAGTATCACTAGGAATTGACGAAGCTGACAGTACAGACTGGTGGTTAAATCATGTATTTCCAAGGACGAGGGAACATACCTGGTACTGATTCCACCTGTTCCTCTTCAAACCTTTCCAAAATCCCTACTCGACCTTCGGACAACGCGACGGCCCATCGAGATACGGCGACAACCGTTCTCAAAGGTATCGTCACTACCAACAGGGACGCTAACAAGTACAAATGGCGGAAGGGACCCCGGTGAGTTTGGTGGATGCCGGATAACTCGAGGCCCGTTCCGAAGATGATGATTGTGAAAAGTGAAGAGATAGTCATGGAACTATGACGTTGAAATGCAAAAAGCAGCGGCACTTGAGCTACGACACCCTCAATGGAATTTGAAGCGTTGAGAATTGCTGATGTGCAGTGAATGGTAACATGAGTACGCGTGCTGTCGATACCATCCTGCGAACTGAATCACTCACTATATAAAAGGCGACTGAACATCAGCCAAGTATGTCCAAACCCCAAGAGGATGATGTATTCTTCGAGTGGTCCTGAGGCTCGATAACAGTCAAGATCAGTCCCAGACTTTAGAGAAGGAAGTACTGGAGCCTCAAGGATGCGGCTTAAAGATCGATGCAGTGTCCTAACTGTTATATAGATTGACAAGGGGGTCCACAGCAGGATCCATAGAGGAATAGCGATGTCAATGCCGATATGCCGATCAGTAAAAATTTGCTTGAATGCATCCAGGAGAACGACCATAAGTATGGAGGCTATCATAAGGAAGACAAGAGAGAGGTAAAGTATCAGGATTCGAGCTTGCATTTTGAGAGGAGACTCGAAGAGCTTTGATAAATGGGTAATGAATTCGTGAAAGTCATTTCATCGTGTAGGTTGCTTTAAGTATTGAGAGAAGTACGATTAGATGCTAGACTTAGGCTCTTTCTCTTTCTCTGGCTTCGGATTCTGTTCTGCAACGGGGACATGGTTAAATTATGACCACTTGGATAAATTCAACCTCTGCGACGTACATTCACAGGACGCATTGGTTTCTTCGAGGATTACAGCTTCTCATTCACCGAATCACCTTGCTCGTTATGCACCAACTATAGCCCAAATTCCAAGGACTATCTTTTTGTCTGAACAATACTTCGACTGTCAGTGGCGTGATTCAACTAAAAATGTATAGTGCCCTCCTGAGTCCTTCCATATTAGGCACCTATCGAAGATATCTCTATGTCCATGGATAGTCTCGTGCACAAGGATCCAAGTACAGGTTGGTGCAAATTCGGAACAGAATCCAGAGCGGCTTGACGTCGAACTGATGTTTCCATGTTGCCAACTTGGGCCATGCCATCGTGCCATTAATGCTGTGGTATCTTGATTTAGGTCTCTTGAAGATGGTTTAACGACTGGTAATACTCATTTGAGAGCGCCGTTAATTATCGATTGGAGAGATTCGGCGGTGATGGAAAGGAAAGAGGATTACGGCCAGTGCTGGAAACATTTGAACATGACTCTTCTCATCACAGTGAGCTCTACTAGTATGCATTTTACGGTGAATACAACGATTTGTAACAGACAAATAACGAAAATTCAAAAGAAATCTTCAATCTGAACTAGAAGAAGTATCTGATTCAGGACTCCAATGCCTTATCACGCGATCCTGCTTCTTCTTCAACCATTCTTCCCCGTCTACAAACATATCCCTCGACGAAAACACTTCCAAAATCTCGCATTCAATCCCTGGACTCATAAGTGTATATGTCCTCCTCAATTCTTCCTCTCCCTCCATACTCCCTGCAACTTTTCCAATCTCCACATTCCCGAGTTCAAACTCTGGAACTTTCCCCATCTGTCTAAACGTCTGGCCAATTGCAAACCCCTCATCCAGAATCAACCTCTCGCATTCGGGTGAAGTTAGCGTTACGGTAGACGTTGCGGTGCACACGACGACAGAGCGACATTTTAGCTCGACTTTGCGGGTTTGGATTATGAGTGACGATGGAGATGCAGGCGTTGTTCGAGGAGTATTAGTTGCGTAGAGGAGTTGCACGGTGATAATATCTGCGAAGAACGCGCTTGTGGAAAATACATTAGCTTCCCTTGACTAGAAGATGTACCACACACACTTACCTCAGAAGACGCTGGAGATCGCCCTGTGCCGCGAGCATAATTCTCTCAAGTCCACTGTACCTCTCCGGATGGGCGATCTATAGGTATGCACGTTTCTATCAGTTTTTTGAGATCTCAAAGTCCATTACATCTAACCTACTCACCCGAACAATAGTCTGGGTCGTGCCCCAGCTTTCTTTCATAGACGTCGAGTTTGACATGGCTGTGATTTGCTAGATGATACTGGATGAAGGCCAGGGTTCAGGCTGATAATAAACGTCCGGATTTTGCATGCGCGGCTTTTATGTTGTGCAGTGCCAGTATGTTCAATGTATGTTCGCATATCATGATAGATATCGGTGACCTCGCCTCACATCGCTTACTTAGCCCATCTTTCGCCCATATCATTCCTTATCACTCCATACCAATATCCCGGATATTTACCCCACCCAGGCTATGAATGCTTCGGTGTTCCAGTCCCTCTTAGCACTTACCGGCTGGGGATCTGCAATGACACAAATTCGTAGCCGATGGGATGGAGGACCCACTTCTAGAAATGCCTCCTCATCCCCCCTGCACAATCAGAGGATTTCAAACTAATTTAGGATGTTACCTTGTCTCCTAGTTCCACCGGCAAAGTCAAATATATTGCAAAATGTAACGGCACATCAATGTACGTCCAGTGTCCACAATGGACACTATCCTACACTATCAGAACGGCCGGTACGCAGTGTAGCTGGCTTGAATGACTGTCACAAGGCGGGAAGAGCCGTATGTAGTCAGCAATTTTTCTAGTCAGCTGCTTATCGCGCTTAAGATATACTACCTTGGCCATGACCACCGAAGGAAGTTTGGCTGCAGGCTCAACAGTCACTGTATAACCGGAAAAGTTATCTTTTGTTTGCTATGATACTATAATACTATGATATGAAAGTAGCACACATGCCTAGCTTCTACTTCTAGGACCAAAATTGAGGAGTCTCAACTCGGTCCTCCACTCGAGAACCTCAGTATCTATAGTTCGACTATCTAGAGCCAAGACGTGTCGTTGTGGGCACTGGACACGTCGAATTGTTTATTTTATGTGGGCTTGGCATATCTGTATTATCTCTCAGATATGTATATCCTATATCTTTTCGAACTCTTCAAATCAAAGGTAGCTGTGCAGGACCAATGCAGCATGTTTTCTACATCACTATAATTAATCTTTGCAACAAGTTTACCACCCTTTCCCAACAACAACAAACGGTCCTAAGGCCTCCTTTTTCTAAATGCCTCAATGGCTTATCCACCTCGTTAACATCCCGATTCTTGAAACGCCGAACTACGGTGTGCAGATATGTCGTTCTGAGTTGAGTATTGGATTCACACAGTTGGACTAGTAGTTGCTCCGACGGTTCCTAAGAAATTCTCTGCTCTTGAAACCTATTCTGATAAGACCATGTCCATGGATCTGGGGTTACTAGAAGCGAATCAAACTGTCAAAGCTGACACTGGATATCATATGAAGAGCTCCAAGTTTCCAAACGAGGACCATTGGGGAATTTGTGGGAGGAGAAGCATGCAAATATTGCAAGAGTTGCGTGATTATGGGAATTGAATCAATAGTGCTCACAGAATCACTACTAGAAAGGAAGGGGCAGGGAGTTAACTATAGTAAAATAGATAAGTGAATGAAGACTTCTGAGTAGAACGATGAGATTATGCTGGAGCAGAATGAAATGAAATGATAGAGAGGATTGTGAGATGGGACGCTAGAAATGAATGTATATAGAGCTTTTTTTGGCGAGAGACTTTTTGTATTGAAATCTTTCTTAGAAATCAGGAAATGAGAGTCTTGAGAGTATTGGGAAATGCAAACTATCATCACCTATCCTCGTTTGTTCACTTGAAAGGATGCCATCCAATGACTCCCATGCCCCCGCAAGAGCAGTACATGTCACTATTGCCCGGAAAGTGTGGCACAAATAAAAGCTTGATGAATTTCTCTAGAATGATAGCAAGAAAAGATTTTACTGGAGAGGCAGGATGTAAGTCCAGAAGTGACAGAAATGATTGTAAGGCAACATCGTACTAATGTATATACAAGAGTCAAGAACACAAGTCAGGAGGAAATGTGACAAAGTCATTGCTAGCACAAACAAACATCGCCAATTGCGAAAACGAGCCCTTAACTTGAGCGTTGGGAATGAAGTTCAGAGTTTTGTTGGTGATCCAGAATGGCTTCGCAGCTTGTTGGTACCGTAGATACAGGAAAAAGTGTAACACATTACAAAACTATGAATTATGGAAATTCAGTTACTGGCCAACGTGGGGATCGAACCCAAGACCTTCGCGTTTAATATGGCATATTAGCACGACGCTCTAACCAACTGAGCTAGCCGGCCGATGATAACTTTATAGTAATAATAGTTGTAAAGATCGTTGATTACTCTTTGATTCTGAGTGTTAACACAACAAACTTCTTAAAGATAAGTTATAGAGATTCCTGACAGAGTTTGATTCGACAGTAATACTAAGATACTGAGGTGCGTATCTAGGGTAAATGTTAGAAAGTTTTCGGCCGGGGCAGTGAAATTTTAAACTCCGCAGCACAAGTCCCGAGGTATCTCGTTGTCAACCATCCCAGCCGTCAACGACATTACCATTGATCTCAGATTTTCATTCAAAATCTGAACTATATCGAAATCCTCGCCTCAACAGTAGAAAGAACGTTGTACAGACGGAATCTACGGCGAAAGTTACCATTAACGATTCCCGAAGATACCAGGAACAGGACAAAGGATTCGGAATTAGCTGTTGAACTTTGGAATTGGAATTGGGAGATTTCAAGAACTCCGAGAACCTCAAGAACACTAAATCAGTTGAACTCACTCAAGGAATCAAAATCAAATCACATCCAGAAAGTTGAACGATAATGTCGGGAATGTTTGGAGGAGGAGGAACGAATCCGTATGATGAGATCGTTGGTACGTTCTTCTGTTTCGTGCTTTTGCCATTCTGGTAGATGAGAACAATTGACCACTTACTGTTGATTGTGCAGCTAAAACGACTGATGAGAATTTAACCAGTGAGAATTGGGAGTTGATATTGAATTTATGTGATAAGGTGCAGGAAGAAGGGGGTGAAGGGTATATTATCTCTCTCTATTCGCATACCTTGACTAATAACTCCGCTCGTTCTCAGCGCTCGACAAGTAACGGCTTCGCTCCTCAAACGCCTCTCGCACCGCAACCCAAATGTTCAGCTTTACACGCTATCACTCGCTGACGCGCTCTCCAAAAACGTCGGATTAATCGTGAATAGAGAGTTGGCTTCCCGAGCGTTCACAGCGGGATTAGAGAAATTGGTTGGAGATAGGAATACACATGAGAAAGTAAAGAAAAGAACTTTGGGATTGATCAAAGAGTGGACAGAGAAATGGGAAAATGAAGCAGAATTAGGGCTTATGGAGGAGTGTTTTGAGGGATTGAGGAAGAAGAGTGAGTACAGTTCGTTTTGCAGGTAAGGATTGAATGACTGATGTTAATAAATCTCTCTTTTTGGAAATTAGATTATAAATTCGACTCGATAGACGAACTACCTCTACCTGCGGTAGACGATGAGATTCGTCGAAGGGAAGAAGAGGAACTTCAACGTGTGCTGGAGATGTCGATGCAAGATCGGGGAGGGTATAATGGTTTTTCATCGTCATCGTCGTGGGCTGAACCGTCTGGAGCTGGATCGTCTAGTACATCGACAAATGCTTACGCTCCCACATCGTCGTCGTCGTCGTCTGCTCCTGCAATCTCGCATAATGGTTACGTCCCGTCTACGAATCCATCTGCAGTGTCGTCTTATGCTCGGTCGGCGTCGCCAAAAGCCACAACGGCGACAACGACAGGTGTAACCTCTGGTATTGGTTCAATCTCGCTTCCATCCTCCGGGTCAACTACCTCTCTCACTTCCACCACCTCTTCAAATAAACGTAAACATATTTCTAATCGAGTCCGTGCTCTACACCCTTTCACTCCCACCGAACCCGGTGAACTAGGTTTTTCCGCTGGAGATATTATCACCGTCGTAGACCGCAACTACAAAGACTGGTGGAGAGGTCAGCTCAGAGGAAGGACAGGAATATTCCCAGTTAATTATGTCGAGGTTCTACCTCCTCCCGACGAAGAAGAGTTGAGAAAAGAAGCACAGCAAGAAGCGAAGGTTTTCGGTGAAGCGACAAATGTTGAGAGGTTACTTGAATTGTTACGAGAAATGGAGAGGGAACAACAGGAATATTATTCAAAATCTCAATCTACTCAAGCGAGTCCTCCTCCTAGCAGATTAGCCGATAACGACGAACTCCAAGAGCTCTATCGATCCTGCATGGCACTCCGTCCGAAAATCGTCAAACTCATCGAAAAGTATAGTCAGAAACGAGCTGATTTGGTTTCGATGAACGAAACGTTTGTTAGAGCTAGAGGTATCTTTGAGAGGTTGATGGAAGAGAGTTTAGCTGGGTATGGAGGTGGAGGTGGTTATCCACCTTCGATTGCTAATGCCTACGGTGCAGGCGCTGGGTATCCAGGTTTAGCCGTCAATTCGCCTTCGTATGGTGGTGTTGCACCGGGATATTTCCCAGCGCCCACGACTGCGACTGCTACGACTCCTGGGTATCCTCAACAGCCGTATCCTGGACCTGTACAAGGACCAGTACAAGGACCAGTACAGCCGGTACAGTCTCCTCCAATTGCTGCAGCTGCTAACACTCCTGGGCAGCCGATATCCGCATACGAGGCGCTGTATGGAGCACAATCTGCACAACGGGTAGTTCAGAATCAGGCTCAACAGGGTCAGCAAGGTCCACAGGGTCAACATGTTCAACGGGGTCAGTATCCTAATGCAGGTCAACAGGGCGCAGGAGAGTATCAGTACCATGTACCGGGGTCACAAGTACATCAAAGTCAGATACAACCTCAGACGCAACCCCAACCGCAGGCGATTCAACAACAACAACCACAACAACAACAACCGCAACAACAACAACCACAACAACAACAACCACAACAACAACCTGTTCAGTCTAAACAACAATCCCAGTCCACTCAACAATCCCAACAACAGCCATCAGCCCCACCATATATATATTCCCTCACCACGACCTACTCTGACCCGAACGTTCAAGCTTGGGCACAATATTATGCCCAAGGGGGTACAGATCCCACTGGAGCTGTTTATTTCGTCAGTGTTCCGGGGGTCAAAGAGTCTATGGAAACGCCTGAGGCGAAGGAAGCTGTTCCGGGTGTTAGTGAATTCGGTTTGGGTGTGGGGGAGGCCAACGACGCTTCTTTGGGTAGGCAAGGTGCTATAGGTGTTGAAGGAAGAGTTGGGGAAAGTAAACCTGAAGTTTCAGCCCAGGTACATGGGAATAGTTCGTACGGAGTGTACGGAACGAGTCCTTATGGTTTTGGAGGAGATACGGGGAACACAGGGAACACAGGGAACACAGGGAACACAGGGAACACGAGTAACACAGGGAGTACAGGGAGTCTACCCTACCCTGGACCTGGACCCGAGCCTGTACATGTACACGGGAATCAGCAATTACCGACTCGGTCGTCTACTCTGGAGAGCACGACGAGTATGGGGAGTACAGTCACAGCTGGGAGTTTACCCAATCCATACGCAGACGGAGACACTCAGAGCAATCTCGAAAGGTCATCTTCGTTGCCTTATCCTGGAGATTCGACTACGACTACTTCGATGCCTTTGAACCCGAGCTCGCCTCATTCTCCTCATTCTCCTCATTCTCCCTACTCTTCCTATTCTCCCCACTCTCCCTATGACCTGAATTCTCCTCACCGTGTGAATCTTCATCCTGGACAATCTGTGCATTCTATCTCCTCGTCGGATGCTCAGAGGTATATGGCCCAAGCTACATGGCAGGGATCGGGTCAACCAGGTTTTCAAGCTCACCAAAACACCCCAGTTCAACAGCAGTATCAGCAACAGTACCAACAACAACCACAACAACAGAACCCATCATCATCATCATCACCTGCATCGTTATACCGCGGTGTAACACTCACCGATGGTACGGCTCCTTCAAACCAACCAAATACCGTTCCTCTTCCGAACCAACCTTCTTCATCTTCTTCGTCCACTTCTCCTCCTCCAGCGAACTTCCCACAAGCCCAACAAGCCCAACAATCGAACTTACCACATATCCAACAAGTCCAAACTTCTGCCTCCGCAGCTAGGACTCCGTCCTGGGTACTTCCAAAGATGGGACCTTCACCGGCGGCCCCGGCGGCGACGCTTAGGTAGTGTGGGCGTCAATGGTGAGCTCAATGGGATGGGGATTGTAGAGAGAGAGTGTGTGTGTGTATGTGTGTGTGGGAGCAGAGCGGGTTGGCAGAAGCTCAGAGCTTTCGGTAACTCGGTGGTTACTAGCCACGAATGTGGACTTTTCGAAAGTGTACATACGAGCGGAACGTGTCAATGTGTAGGAGATCTGCATGAATGTATGTATCATACCTACAGATGAGTTCTACCTATTAATAGGACATCTTCGAATTCTGTGCTTTTTTGACTTGTTTTTTCTTTACTTTTATCGATTCTAATTTTGTTTACATATCGATACCTCCGAATAAGGATTATTTTTTGTTTAATTATTTCTGATACCACGTCGATGACCATGACTTTTTCACTTTGTTCTTGAAGATGCTTTGATCCAGTTTTCTTTCATTCTTTCACTCTACGTATCTTCCGCTACAGCTTCGTTGTTCCGTCGTTTCGCTTGTGCGTCGCATACGTACATATTTCACTCCATAATAACTCGGTGTTTTCTTTCATAATTCCAAGTACTCCCATATTTGATACATAAGCGCAAACACTTTGTGACTTTTTCGAGTTACACATGTTTCCAGCCTCGTCTGACACCGCCCAGTCAATACCGAAGAAAACGAAACCGTAGGTTGGGGGGAGTCCGAGCTAACGCTCGGATAGATCGTAGAAGATTCTGCCGCTCGGGTGGGCGGGATCTCCGCTAGCTTCGTCTATCGGTCCTGGCGTGTTTCTGCCTAGCGATTGGCATTTCTGTGGTCGCTCTGCAGTGTTCCGTGTAATCGATGTTTAACGTATATGTCCTGATTGGCGTTGCCCGCTAGTTGTAAGTACTGGTGTGTAATTCTCGTCTTTGTGACTCTGTATTATAAAAAAAAGAAAAAGAAAAAAGGAAAAAGAGGTGGGTATCGGGGTGGGGAAAATAAAACATAAGTAATATTCTTTGCCTATGAAGTGAAATTCGTGTTGGTAATGGTAGAGTAGTTAGAAACAGAGTATGCGAACTGTCCGGCCGGCTGACCGACGTGCCATTCCTGCTGTGCTCGTTTGCCGCTCGGCTGGACGTCGA